GTTCGGCAGAGTCTCGCTGAGCATGAATGAAAGATGATTGGGGCGATGTTGTTGTTGTTGAACTCTAGGAGCTTTCGGAGCACCCTGTAGATGTTGTCGTCCCAAGTACTTTCCGTCTTCCATTCTGCCATCGTACATGTTATCGTCTCAGGTACTTTCCGTCTTCCTGTTCTGCCGGAGATCCATCACACCGTCCACGATGGCCATAAGATATGTTTGTTCAATGGTTCGCGAGATCAATCAGTTTTATCCAATCTTTACGAGAGGACTACTCACAGCCTACACCGTGTGAAGGTTTAATTCCTTGCAGGCCCAAGCTAGGATTTCATTAGCCTATCCGAGAGGACCCGACAATGTCGCAGGATTGTGTGCAAGGCTGCGCGAGGTTGGCTAATCCCGGCGGCCGTATCTACTAAGGCGCCGCAGGATTGTGTCGCTAGGTCATTCCGCTGCTCCTACTATTACTATATTATTATTTACTTAGTTAAGACGTATATTAATCGTGTCATGGTCTTCAGGCCATGCCTTCCGGAGAACGAAGCAGCAAGAAGAACGACGTTGTCATACGAAACGGTCATCGCAGACCAGTGGACACCCGGCCTGGGTTGCGCCAGCTCCGCTCGAACTCGATCTCGAATGCGGCGAAGGTGGTCCCCCCGCAAGGTTCGGAAGTGCCAGTCGGATCTCGCCCAAGGTAGGTAAGATTTTGATCTGGGTGATGTCCGCGTGATCATCGTGGCGGGGACCCTCAGGGGAAAGATGGCCGGGAAGCGCTGGAGGTCGCTCGAGTGGCTCCTTGGACGCGTCGAACGCTCTTGTCATTCACGGACGTGTGGTCGCCCGAAATCGTGTTGAGGGTGGTGGAGGAGATTTTACCCCGGACATTGGATAATGTACATGGAGAGTGACGTCCGCAAACCTCTTCCACACGCGCCCTGTGCTCTCCGCCGCATCCCCCAAAGTATAAGACACACACCGCTCTCGCAAGTGACAGAGGATGACCGTCCACAGGGAGACTCACCATCGGGACTAAATCGTCACCGCGCTCCTACTCCGCTCCGATGAGTCACTCTGGTGTCCATATCTATCTAAAAGCAGGACCCGCTCCACCGCATTCGAAACATGTAGTATAGGGAATGTAGCAGCGACGAGAGCGGATGGCATCAGAGGTGGCATCGCCGGCCACCACAACCACCTCCTGCCGTGAGGATGACCGTCTTCTCCCGGTGGTCACGGACAAACGGCACCGTCGCGAACCCGAAATTGAAGCACGGGGCCTTTCTTGTCGGCGCTGAAAAAGATCTCGTTGCGGAAGCCATTCTGGGTGTCGTCGACGGTGGTTATGATGCGGGCAAGCCTCGTCTCATCTTCGAGGGGCGTCAGTATGCCGCACGCAACTGGTGTGCCGCATTTGCCCTACTCACAATACGAAAGAAGGTCGACGTCGCCCTCGACGAAGTTGGAATATGGATACATGGAAAGACTCCATGTTGTGAGCCGGTACACTGCCTTCGCTCTTGGACGTGACGCCGTCCGCGGAGCCAGGCCTTTGCCAGACGAAAGATACAGACATCACTGGACTAGATTTGGAGTCAGAAGATCATGTTCCACAATACCACAGTCCAGCCGGCCAGACATACATCTCCGAGAAGGCCTTGTGTGCAGTAATCTGCTGCAGGAACTGCTGGTGTTCCTGGCTGGACGCAAGCTTGACGTGGCGATATGCGTCGCCCGGCGTGGTCCCAGGGAAACTGAAGTTCTTCGGAACCTCAGCTGTGAATCAACACTGTGGTCAAAGTGCCAATCATCGCCAACGTCGAGCATTGGGTCTGTCAGGACCAAAGGAAATTACTCGTCCGAGAAGGAGAGGATGGTCGCTCCGAGGACGGTCGTGGTTATGTCCGTGGAAGGACGAGAACGCCGTGTCTATCAAGGACGCGGGAAACGGTGTCACTGTGACGTTGGCTGTCGATGAGGCGCTCGAGGGTAGAGCTCGGTCGACGACATTCTCGACAAAGGTGTGCGGCTGGATGTTGACTTCAGGCGACGCGTCGTCCGGGCTTGCTGCACAGCCCTAGGCATGATTGGCCTAACAGAGGGGGGGGGGGGAGGGGCAGAGCGATGCAGGGTTCGTGACCATCGAAGACCACGCCCTTCACAAACTCTTTCCATCCTTCGCCGTCGGCCTTGGGGTCAGCTTCGGTTCCCAGAGCCGCCTTTGCGACCTCGGTCGCCCACGCCTCAACTTTGACAGCGCAGGGGAAGTTCCCTCGGAGGTCGCGGAAGCCAAAATGATGGCAGTCGACAACGCCAAGACCAAGACCAAGATGAAAGAGCGGCGATGAGGGACAACTCTGTATGGCGCACGACCCTGAAGCATTTGAAACGAGTTCTCACTTAACTTCATAGGCGTTCCGTCGGAAGCACCCAAGCCCAACGCCTGTTACGCCGTCTGCGCGCTGTCTCCCCGGGCCGCTGAAAATTTCCTCCGGGTATCTTCACCTTCGTGTCATTGGTCACGGGCACCAGGGTAAGTCGGCAAAGAATGCCACGCCAGCCTCCAGCTGTAGGCAGACCCCTTTGCGGTGGATTTGGTGCCTTTCGCCGAGTCACCATCTGATTGACAGAATAGAACCCGGAACCCAATCGAAACCGCCAAATCTTCAGACAGCGCGGCAATAACACGACTGGTGCGAACGTGATCGACGTTTGTGGTGGATGGGGTAAAGGAAAGGAGAATGAATGTTAGAGGATGCCTATTTCGATCCAGTCAGTTAGCACTTGAGCCAGGAAAGACATATCATGCTCACTCGGCGCTCACGCAAATCGAGCGAAGCGCGAGCTTTAAGGGCAGGGTAATGCGATGGGAGAACATCAGGCAGTGTGCTGGTGGTTGAGCGCACTCTACAGTTGCCTAATGCTCGTTTGACGGCTCTGGCAAGTCTGAAGGGCGACCTACAGCGACTGATTTGCTAGCCAAAAGCTCGAAAGACGATGCCTCTTCGCTTCCGCTCTTCCGTTTCGCTGCTCCTGACCGGATTTGATACATGTGAACGAGCGTCGACCCCCATTCTATGGTGGCCATTAATTCAGCTCTCACTATGATGGGCAGGGAGGACCAATGGAACGAGAATTTGCAGCGAAGAGACAACGATCACGCCATGGAACAGCTTCAGCTGGAATAATACTCCTCAAGCTCCAGCCAAATGTGTCCAAGAATATTCGACTGCTATGGGTGAGATATCGTTCGCGATGAAGTCCAGGTACGGCACCAACACGGTTCATGATATCGTCCTTGCCTGGATCGCCCTATTTCGCCCTGCAGTCATGTCTGCCCACCGGGCGCTGTGAACGTGACCTATCCTTTCCCTGCCACTGCGGCCACCAGCGCCGCATGACGACGAGGACCGGCCGCAGCAGTCGCTAGTCTTGCGCTAGTGGCTATTCTATGCGTTCTCAGACTGGGCTGTCTGCATGTCTACTACTAGTGGAAGGTCCGAACAATAATTGACGAGCATGATAGGCAACCAATAGGTACTGTGAACTCTGCCAATGGAACGAGGTTCGCCCGCTGAACACCTCTTTCGGCCCTGACCGGTGGACGCACCCGCACTGTCTGGGGCGACCTACGGGCAATCCCCGCAGGCAGATCTCAGCCAGCCCGTGTCCCCGCCCCCGCCAGCTTGCTAGTCTGAACCCCGGAGTTCTCGTGGCGAGTCCTCTTCCAGGCGATTTTCAGTCTTTGCTTAAGGAACAATTCCGCAAAGCGAACGAGAAACCTTGAAAGGGTTCCGATGGAAGGGCTGGCTCTATGTAGCCCGAGGCAGTATCAGGCAACAACACTGTCTCTGATCAGTGTGTGTATCACCTGGAAGGCGGCACGTTACCACTCTACAAACGACCTTGCTTTCACGAAGGGGTCGCTTCCGTCGCTGTTGTCTCGACACGATCTGCCGGAACGACAAGTCGACATTAACGAGTACGCCAATTCCATGGAACAACGCCCGACTGGCGCCGCCTTCTAGGTATCCCGGCTGGAACGGTACAATGCCAAGATCCTCAGCGGCGAATCTTGACCGCTCCAAGTTCCACTGCCGTTTCCAGACCTGAGCATCTCGCCATTCGACCTGAGCAATGACTAAGCTGTTTGTGCCATGGTACCATGGTTGTGCATCTAGCTGTGCAACCCTGAGCGCCGCTGGAAGATCCGGAGGTATGCCCTGAGCGGCCGGCGTACAGCCCCAAGCGGCTTGGTAGGCGCTGGCGAGTCTACAGATTTACACCAACCCGGATGATGCTCACCCCGGCCCCTGGTGCATAATCCGAAACATCCTACATTTAACACTGATCCGTGATTGCATACGCGAGAATGACCTAGAGAGTCTGACCGGCCGCCTGCTGATAGCTCCTGAGGCCTGCCTCCACAGCACCGCCCTCAATGTCATATATCCTCATGGACTGGGCCATCTCGCCGGTACGCAAGATCTTCTTGTCTTTCTAGCGCCGTGCGCTTCTCTGATCCAACTAAAGAGATGGAATCCGCCCATGGACCACTCCCAGAAATGGTCTCTCTCCACAGGGTTCGAGCCTGCCAGAATTGTAGCCGGTGAGGTTCCCAACAGTTGGACTTCTACACTTTTGGCCCCTGCCACCTTTGCAGAATCTGGCTGACTGAATACCAAAGGAGGAAAAAGAGATGTGAGTATTGGTCGGACCTTGTCTGGTGATTCTGGACAGCCGCTCCCCTTCTTTGGAGGTGGCAAGTGCTCACACCGTGTATCTTCAGGTGATGGGAGAAAGCCGCAATGTCACCTGTGCATTCAAGCGGGGATGGCTTGCGTCTATCCGGCCTTCGCCTTGAAACCCGGCCCTAAAAAAGGTTCCAAAAGGGGAGGGTACGAAAATAATAGAACCCAGGGTAACCCCACTGCTACTGCTATGTGTTTGGCACCCTCTGACCTGGCGAAGGGCCACGGCCGCCTCCAGAAGCCTCATGGCCGATGCCCGACAATTGCGAATGGACCCCGGCTGAGGATGAAAACTGGTCACTCTCGACTCCGAATTCCTTGAGACAGACTGCTTCGTCTCAATCGTCAACGCGCAGACCTATCAGGTCTCAACTATCGTGGAACCAGTCTTCCGGGAAAGACTTGATTCTCCCTCCGAAAGTTCTCATCACTCATCTGGTAGAAGTCTACTTTGACTATGTTCATCCTCAGATCCGGCTCTTTCATCAGCCGAGCTTCGTTCCTTGGGTCGAAAGCAGCTCGTTCGTGTCAGACGGATACTCCACACTGCTCCTGTTAGCGATGTTTTCTTTGGCGGCGAGATATTCGGATCAGCCCGAGGTGGATCTTTTTGACCGATCGCTGCGTCAGATGTCCGGATGCCGCAACACTCAAGATGGTGCCAGTCACAAAATCCGAAAACGATGGGACCGCGGGAAAGGCTTCCTTAGTCAAGCGAACAGATTGCTCATGGGTGAGATCTCGAAGATGGACAATTTAGAGCTCAAAAGCGGTGGGATGCAGAGACCATCGATTGCCCTCGTGCAAGCTGCCGCTCTGCTCACTTTCGCCCAGCTGGGAATGGGACTCAACAGCCGAGCGTTTTCCATTTTATCAATGACTGTGCGACTAGCCTATGACTGCGGCCTGGATCAAGTTGACAGCTACGACAAAACCATGCCCAACCCAAAGGGTACCGGCGTCTGCTCATCCAGATCCATCTGGGTTGAGCAAGAGGAGCTGCGCCGCGCCTGGTGGGCCGTTGCCGACTTGGAAAACTTTGTTTGTGTGACAAAAGACCGGCCGCGTCTAATCGACTGGGAAAGTTGCAAGACAAAGCTTCCTTGTGATGACAAGGACTGGTTTGAAGGCCGTGACCGTCCGTCGGTCTTTTTACCAGTGAGTCTTCACGACTTGCGGGCGTCTCTGGCACTCCCGTCGCAACTGTCCGTCCTGGCGTGTCGGATCATGACGATGCATCTGGTCGCCAAGTTGATCAAGGCAGCGATCATAGACGACAGTGTGCCCCAATCACAGGATCTTTTCTACACGATCGAGGAGTGTGCTACGGCTTGGAAGCAAAACATGCCCATGGGCTGGAGAACGGAGCCGCCATTGCAGAAAACCCCTGGCCAGCCTGACGTCTCGACCGACTGTGTCCCCCTGCGGATAGGGATTGAATGGCGGGTCTCAAAATCCTCCCCCCGTGTGCTTGCTGCTGACCAAAGCATTCAGTATATTGTTACTCAGCAACAAGATCCGTGTATTTAAACGTGCAACACCATTCGAGATCTTCACATACTGTCGAGATTTCTCCCACCAGCGACGGCATGGCGATCACATTGCCGTGTCATCTGAATCTCAGGCGTTCTCTGTGGCGCTATCTGCGTCCGAGACCGTTTGCTCCATCATTCGTGATTGGTCCACCGACAATATAGCACGCTCGTTCCCTTACCTGGCCTACAGTCTGTGGGGGCCTGCATGCCTTCAACTACTCGTCAAGTCATTCACGCGAGCTGACTGGGAGCTGGCGGAGAAAGCGTCACTCTACCTGAGAATTTTGACCATGAACCTAGAACGGTTTGCAGAATTCTCGCGGTTTGGCCAATTTGTTCTGAGTATGTTTCAAGTCTCGTCTCGAAACCCCTCCTCGTGGAAACTACTACGAGGAAACTACCAAACTGTGGACTGATCGGCAGCATCTAGGTGCTTTCCGACGGTACGAGCAGAAATTAACAGATCTCAACTGGGCGGACAGCAGCCCGGGCGACGAAGACCATTGGATCTCTACGCGCATCCTGTGTTTCCCAAGCCACATCGACGCTTCTTTTCTGAAGGAGGCGGCATCAATTGGCCATCCCGAAACCCCAAGTGATGCGGCTCTTCAACAGGCCGTGGAACAGCTTTCCACATTCGCCAGTACACAATTAACCACAGGGGCAGACGGCCCACTTATAGACGGGGTTGAAAGCCTCGACTACATCATGGACGACCCGGGTTGGATGGGGACGCAATGGGCAGACGCAGAGAGTGTCACTGGAAATCCATTCTCGACGCCACTCCGCTACGATTTCGAGAATCTGTGATGCAAAGACTCTATCAGCTACTTTCATGCAGATGACCGCCGTGAACGTTCGAAATGGGGGGTTGTAGGGTTATAGGCCATTCCGTATGTCCTTTGAACCAACACTGCTTTAATCGCCTTTATCCCCCTACTCGCTGCATGAACCTTCGTCACATAATCCTCACTTTCATAGGCCTGCACGATGAATGACTTCTCCTGCTCCTAAGCAACTTTAGCTAGCGCCTAGCACAGTGCTCCTATCTCGTTCTTAAAGACGTCTTCCCAGCAAGGTAGGGTGGTCGAATCCGTGCCGGACTTGTAGCTGAGCTTCACTGAAAACCGAACAGGGCCAGACGGCGTGTTTGGGCCATTCGGGTCGTAAAGCTGCATCTGAGGCTTCAACCGTTGCACATGAACTTGCAAGGCCACTGAGTCGATGTACATATCTAAAGAGAGAAAATGATTCCAGTCAGCTCTAGAAATGCGTCCGACCGCCAAGGTGGCATTCGAGCATCAGGCAGACTCACTTTTCACCCACATAACACGGCCCCATCAAGACTGCGAGGCACAAGATCTCAACGTCCCAGGCTCAGTGCTCACAGCATGATCGGCAGCAGTTTGCAGCAGCGGCCATCTCATCTGGCCCGGCTACATAATTGCTCCCATCGAGGATGGTCGTCCCGCACACCGAGTTTAGCATCTCGTCATCTAGAGTTGCGACGCGCGGGCGTCGACATTCTTACAACTCATATCCCGCGAGACGGTCTCATTCTTGGATGGGTGGTGCTGCAGTTTCCGGCCGAGAGCACGCGCAGCAGCAAGTGGAGCAGATGCTTGGATCACAACCAATCCATGGGAAGTCCGCGTTGAGAGCCTATCGGGTTTGGGGGGTGTTTGATGGCGCCGTCCACAGCCTTTCTTTGCCAGGCGGCCTGTGTCCTCGCGGTGTCGTGTCGGCCCATCCTCCTGGCGGCGGGCGGGCTGACTCTTCCAGCGGCGGGCTATCTTGCAATAGTCAACTGGCCAAAATCCCCCCGCCCCGGTCGTAACTTGTGCAGCTTGGAAGTACATGTACAATAACCGGCAAGGGCAGACACCAACCACTCTGGCTGTTCAAGTAGTGCGAGCTGTCCTTGGTATTGTGCTTGACACCGTGCAAGGGCGTCGGCAGGTCTTGATCGAATCTCTCACTCTCTCCCTGCCGAGATCGCGTGGCCCCCACCCCCCGTCATGGCTACCGAACGCCAGCAGAAGGAAACTGTAGACAGACGCAAGGCGCGGAAAGCCGACTTCAAGAAGGCGGAAGCATCGCGCCCCCTGTGGGACGATGTCGCGCCAGTGGTAGTCCAGACTCCTGCGCCGGACTGGACCTTCGGCGCGGGCCCCAACCACACCCACGCGCAGACGTCGGCCTCCGCGACGACCGCCAAGCACATCGCCATTGACCCCTACGCTCCCGACCGCTCACTGCTGGACAACTACAAGCTCCTCGTGAGCGGCGTGGTGCCGCGGCCCATCGCCTTCATCTCGACGCGGTCGCGCGACGGCAAGAGCGAGAACTTGGCGCCGATGAGTTACTTCCAGCTCGTGAACGTGGACCCGCCCATCTTGGTGGTCGGGCTGATGAGCCCGATGGCCAGGGCGAAAGATACGCTGCTCAACCTCCTCGAGACGAGAGAATGCGTCATCAACGTCGTCAGCGAGGGCATCATCGAGGCCGTGAACGCCACGAGCATTGACGCCCCCTACGGCGTGTCCGAGTGGGAAATCGCCGGCCTAACTCCCGTGTATGACTGCCACACTGTGTCCTGCGCCCGTGTCAGGGAATCTGTCTTCAGTATGGAGGCGCGGCTCGAGAGTGTGCGCGAGTTCTCGAGTCGCAGCAAGCCTGGCACCAAAGCGGGCACCCTCGAGACCCTCGAAGTCACTTACTTCTGGGCGAGAGAGGATGCTCTTAACGAGGGAAGGAATGAGCTGGATCTTGCGGTTCGTCCCGATCAGCCCCCCCTTTTCTTTCTCTCTGCGTTCTGGTTCGGTCCCAAGCCCGTTCCCCGCATTAGAGAGAACAAAGTTGCTGAGGTTAACTTCCGACGCAGGTACTCCGCCCGATGAGCAGATTAGGAGGCATGGCCTTCGGTAGGACGACTCAGGTCATTGAGCTGATGCGGCCGGATTTCGACACCGACTTGGAAGGACTCGGGGGCTTGGAGAAGTTAAGAGAGGCCAACAAAGCGAGAACAGGAAGCTGACTGTTCTAATTTGGAAAGGTCACGGGTTTCCCACGGTGCTAGGTCAGAGGAGCTGGGCTGATGAGCTAAGTTGGAAGAAGAGAAGCTGCAGAGTTGTATAGACAGATATCTCATTGTCACGTCGAAAACTATCCCCAGCCACTTTCAGGGTTTACCATGCAATGAATGACCAGGACGAACAATCCAAGAATTCCTCTTTGTTTTGTCTCTCGGTGAACTTTCGTTGTTCGATCCTCAGGACAGGAAGACGACTGCCATCTACTCGTATGCATGACAAGAATAAGTGGCAAGTCCTATGACCGGTCATATGGTCTAATAAAGAGCTACAATATCTGCGCCACAGGTCCCGGCGTAGGAGTCCATGTCTGCTAGACGATGAAGCGCGCGTATTGAGAATGGGCCCTCAGGCCGACGGCCTATGTCGTACATGCAACTGATAGAAACCTGAATGTCTTGGGACAAGACTCCTACCTGGAACAACTCAACGGATGGAAAGTCTATCAAACCCCAAAAGAAAACAAATAGGGCTGCCTGTGGAAACCCGGGTGGCACGAATGACAGAAAGCTGATTGATACGATATCAAATTGGACAGGCGAATCTACTTGGAATCCGCTGGATTGCGCTGAAGTTGCTTTCCCCGGAAGTACTCCTCAATCACCGCCTTCAGATTCCTCTCAGCAGATTTGTGAGCCCAATCAGTCAGATAAAGGGGGCATTCGGTCTCGATTGCACAAATGGTGATTTTTTCGTTCCCATACCTGCTCGGCGTGCGTGTATCCTTGGCCCTCATCGCCTGAAACTGCGGCTCGTCAGGACCATGCGTTGCCATCGCCCCATTGAGGTAGCCTCCGAAGGGGCTAAAATCAGTGTCGGGGTTGTTCAACGGGGTGTCGGCACGCTGATCGTTGATGACGGGGAACCCGAACTCCTGCATCGTGTTGCGGTGGAACCAGGCCATCCCAAACGTGTCGTCGGCCGCCTGCCAGCGGGGGGGGACCCCGATAAAGTCAACGACGGCAGTGCCGGGCGCCTTCCCGAACGCAGGAGCTGTCAAGAGAACGTAAACCGAAGGGTCGACATGGCCGTAACGAAGGTTGCCTATCGTATCGAAGCGAGCGAGGTCATACTTGTAAGGGTAGAGTGTGCCTTGCCAGCCGACAACGTTGAAGGGCGTTGTGACCTGAGAGCAGGTCCACAGCTTGGTGTCCAGGCGCGAGATGATGGTCCATTTGTTCGCCCCGTTGTTAGCGACGGGGATCTGGTCGCCGTTCGTCGCCCGTTCCAGCTGGCCTTCGAAGGAGGCCGTCGGTACCTGAAAATCGTAGGAGTTGGCTAGGCCGGTCGTCCCAATGATGCCGAGCTCGGGGAGCCGGTAATGGCCCTGGTAGAGCTCGCAGATGTGCCCGCGACACGGCTTCCCCTCTGGCAGTGTCACGCGGTATCTCATCCCGCGTGGAATCACGGCTATCTCGTTCGGCCTCACCAGTAGCTTGCCCAGTTCCGTCGTGATGTCCAGCGACCCGAACTGTGGGACGATGAGAGCCTCGCCATCCAGGCTGGTGAAAGCCGTTTGCGGAGCCATATCTTTGTGTGCGTTGAACACCCAGACAGCGATGCCGGTCTTCTGCTGCGCATTGCCATTACTCGCCAATAGGCGCTGGTTCATCCAGTCTCCTTTCTCCGGAAACGGGTAGGTGCGCCACGAGGTTGAATTCGGGTTGAGATGTTTCGCCGGGGCCGGATTGGCAAATTCAAGATCGTGGTTCCATTCGGTGAACTCTGTGTGTTGGTAGGAAGACTCAATGCGGTACAGATATGTGAATAAGTTGTGGGCCCGTGGACCTACGAAGGATGTCCCAGAGATTTTCTCGGTGCGGAGCCCTAAAGGGGGGATTTGTGGGTGGTTATTGACCACCGGGACAGCACCAGGGACGGCTTCAGACCTGTACCAAAGAATCAAAACTTCATCCACTTCCACAGGCTGACGGGGGATCAGACTCACCGGTGATGGTTTCCCAACCCATCGTGATACTCATACTTCTCCTTCAATGCAAAGTGCGTTACGGGTGGCATCGTTCACGCGGTGCTTTCCCAAGACTGAACTAGGTAAAAGGTGGCGGTGGAGAGAGATGTTCAGCAGTTGGGACCTATGTCGCTGTGGTCGGCAGTCTCTGCTTGAGGATTGGAAGCAATATAAGCCAAGGTCTTATATGGCAGGGTATATATGTTCGTGGAAGTAGGTGAGGTATTATCCCCGGGCGGGGAGATTCATCCATCACGGCGGTGTATCTAATTCGGTGAAGCGGCGGATTATCCAGCAGCGGAGGCGGCGGCGGCATAATTAGATGTAGCGTTGATGGGCCGAAACAGTGTATGGTCAGACCGTGAAGGCGACTGCATCGGGATATCATGAACAAGATCAGATTCTGTGAGTGTTCCGCGGGCTGACTTCTCTGTCGCCTGTCACATGGGCCTGGTGTTGGCAATAAAACCCGTTGTATCTCTTCTTGCACCGAACATAGACCGCTTCATATTTTCCGGTGCGTGAAAAACCATGATTGAACTACAATCGAAGCCTCCGAAGCCACTCAGTGGTCAGTTTGACGATGGCCCTTTGGTAGGCCTAGGATATCGGACCGACTCGCAGGAAGGCGTCACTGACAAGCAAGGCCATTTCTTCTACCGGGATGGCGAAACGGTGACCTTTTCGATAGGCAAGCTGTCTATCGGATCTGCGATGGGCAGCCCATCGCTGACACTGGCCGCGCTTCACAATGGTGGCGGCGGCGTTGATGCTGGGCTGGGGAAACCGAGTCTGACTCTTCCAGAGACGGTCAACCGAGCGCGCTTCATTCAGAGCCTGGCGGCGGAACGCGACCTCCGAAATGGTGTGTCCATCGACGATACCATCCGCGATATCGTGAACACACATGCGGATGGGATTTTGTTTGCTTCCGACATCAGCACGTTCGAGCAAGCGCCTGCGATCCGCGAGGTGTTCAGCAAGCTCGGGCGCCGTTTTCGCGGTGCAGAGGAAGCACGCAACCATCTGCGGCGCGCCCAGGCAGGAATTAGGGCGCTCAGGGACGTCCGAATTCCCACCCGCGACGGGAGTTATCTCGTCGCGGACGTCTTTCACCCCAACGATGCTGGAAAGTATCCGGTTCTCCTGGGAGTCAGTGTCTACGGTAGAGCGTTTCAGATTGGGTCGATCCTCAGCGACGCAGACTTTGAGGCAAGTGAGAAGCGTGAAGCCGCCTGGTATGAGACAGACCGAAGCCACATCGTCCCCTCCTTTCGATTGTCGGAAAATGCGGCCAGCGGCAATGCCAGTACCTGGGTACCACTCGGCTATGCCATGGTACGGGTGGATGAGCGCGGTGTAGGCCATACCCCGGGCACATTGAATCCTTTCTCGAAGCAAGGGGCACTCGACTATTTCGATGCCATTGAGTGGGCGGCCAAGCAGCCATGGAGTGATGGCAACGTCGGCACCTATGGTGCCTCGTACAATGCAACCATCCAGTGGAATGTAGCTGCACTGCACCCGCCTTCCTTGAGGGCCATGGCTCCGATTTCTGGGGATGGCGGTTACCGCGACCTTGCATATCCTGGCGGGATCTTCCTCGAAAAGTACCGACACCAGTGGTGGAACGACATAGTACTGCCGATCAAGAATCCCAACGGCGACGCTGTGGACTTCCTCGGCGGACTTCGAAGCCACCCTTGGGATGACGAGCACTATCACGGTGATGGGATCCTCTCTGCCGATTTTGCCAGCATTGACACTCCCGTGCTGACGGCAGTGAGTCTAACTGGTTTGATTCACGCTCGTTCCGGGTTCGAAGCGTTCTCGCACCTCTCCTCACGCGACAAAAGGCTGATGGTCATGGACGCCTCTTACTCCGCCTATATGTTTGAGGACTTCCAGCCTGACGTGAAGGCTTTTTTCGACCAGTACCTCAAAGGGAAGAAGCCGCCGCAGGAGCCGCCAGCTGTGGGCATAGTGCTTCGCACAGGGGATGGAGGGTGGGAGCGCTGCAATGCATCGACCTGGCCTCTTCCCGACACGGAGTACCGGGAGCTCTTTCTAGAAGCCGGCTCGAACGCGAGCGGTGGCCAAATTTCCGCTCGCTTACCCGACCAGAAAGGAATTGTCGAATATTCAGCCGATGTGCAGGATTGGGCCAAGCCCTTACCCATGGCCGTTTTCGAGTCGGCTCCGTTGGATGAAGAACTCGAATTGGTGGGTCATTTCCGGGCAACATTGTGGGTGTCGTCCACGTCGGCTGACGCCGACGTCTTCGTCGCGGTTCGTGTCATGGATGGGGAGCGAGAGGTCCTGTACCGCACGCGTGAGACGGGGTCTGTCAGCCCGCTGACCTGGGGATGCCTCAAGGTGTCCCGTCGGGCGACCGATCCCACGCTCAGTACGCAGGAACGGCCGTGGCATACTCATCGGCGCGAGGATGCTCAACCCCTCGTCCCAGACGAAGTGGTGAGGATTGATGTGGAAATCATGCCAGCCACCGGACGTGTGCAGAAAGGCCATCGACTCCGCATCGAGATCTCGCCGGTTGAGGGCCCCGGACGCGTGCTAGGGCGTGAACGCGCGTACGACGAATCGTATCACCGTGGCGCCATGAATCGCGTCTATACCGGAGGAGTGACTCCCAGCTCCATTACAATTCCTGTTGTGCCTCGTCAACACAGCTAGGCGAGCATATTTATCCCATCAACCTAACTTCGAATCTTTTGTTATGATCGCTCCACGTGAGATAATACTCCAGTCCAAGAATATGTATCGAGGGGAGTAACGGCGGAATGCTAGCCAGAGGTAAAGGCGCATTGTCATGCTTTAACGGTATGTGGTGAAACCCTACATTAAGCTAAAGTGTAAGTTAGAGTAGTGTTCTTTACTACTTTTTTAAAATTTAAAATGACTATAATACTTTAAATAGTATCTTAGGGTTAATATTATAATTTAACTTACTAGAATTAACTTTATTAAAGAATAGTGTAGTAAAAACTCTCTTCTATACAGTATATAGGGTTTTAATATAGTTAACCTACACTCTTAGTATTCTTTAGCCTTTCCTCTTTAAAATTATTTTTATAGAGTCTTCGCTAAGAAGATTTATACCTTTCCTTATTTAGTTTTCTTCTCTTCGCTACACTAATAAGCTATATACCTATAAGCTACCTTTCCTTATTTAGTATTCTTCTCTTCGCTATACTAATAAGCTATACACCTATTAGTAAGATTATCTCGATATAATAACTATTACTTTAGTATATAGTAATATCGCGGCTGGTAAATCGAGTAAAGGAGACTATAATAGCCGCGATTAACGCTTATTAACTACTAAGAGAAGTATAAAATATATTAGCGCTAATAATTATAGTTAGTATAGTAAAGGTCTTAAAGCTACTCGCGGAGTAATATTATAGATTTCCTATCTATACGAGTAATATTACGGATTTCCTATCTATATAAGTAATATTATAGATTTCTTATCTATACTTACTTAATTTATATAACTTAAGATACTATACTAAATTAATAATTATAAGACTTCTTAATATAAAGGTAATTAAAGGCGTTCTTATCCTAGATAAGGAAGATAAGATACTAAGGGTGTCGCTTAAATTTATTACTAGTCCCCTAGTATAAGCTATATACTTATTTAATACCCTTTTATATTTAATTTCCTTCCCTTCGCTATATTTATAAGCTATCTACTCTATACTTTATTAAGCTATATACTTCTTTAATACCTTTCTCTTTTAGATTTTCTTCCGGTTACTACGCTAATAAGCTATTCTAAAGGGTAATCTTATACTTTATAGTCCTACTAAAACTTTTAAAATTTTAAACTTTTTTAGTATTAGCGAATAGAGCTTCTCTTCCGGATTATAATAATACTCACTATTTATCTTTAGGCCTAATACTAATACTATAATCTTATTTAGAAGATAGAGCCCTCGAGCACTAGATGTACTTCTACTAAGATATTCACGGGAACGCTAAACCTCTTTTGAATTTTCGACTACGCCACCAATTAGTGCTTATACTAACCCTATCTACTAGTCCTAATCTGATTATTCGACCATTACACTAATCATCTATCGCGCCCCTATAATCTACCGAACTATCTCATTAAGAGTTACCCGGCCACCTAGATCCGAGTAGTAGGTAGTTATAGATATTAAATCTAACTAGTTAATGACTATTTAGGAATCCATCTACAGATTAATTCTTAACTTCTTCATTTCTAGTTACTTCGCTTAGGTAGTGACCTTTCCTTTATAACTACCTAACTAGCTGCCTCAATCTTAAAGTCACCCTAACTTTAAGCGCAGTATACTACGTTTATATTAAGACTAGTGCGGTCTTAGTAGAGGACTCGGCTATAGTTATTTTTCTGTCCCCTCGAAAGCACTCTCCGTTCTATTTTATCTTACTATAGAGCAATATTTTTTCTCTCTCTCTAAGTTTAAAAGTCGAATATTATACTGACTTTAGATTCTTAATATCTACCTTCTTAAGGTAAGTCTCTAATAGTGAAGTTAGAGTAGTTAAGAATTTATCTCTAAATGGATTTCTGTCTTCGCTATTAGGTCGGTACCTCTCTTTTAGAATATACATCCCGTGTCATTTTCGATGCTGTTCCTCCCCTGAGAATAGTGACTCTCCCCTTAGAATGCATATCCCGTGCTATTAGCGATCCTGTTGTTCCTATATAATCGGCGACTCTCCTCTCGGAATGTACATCCCGTGCTATTCTTGATCGTTGAATAACTAAACTCTCCGCAGCGCGCTAGTCGAGAATCCATCTTTAGACGGACTTTTATCCGGTATAGGTTACGATCTATGTCCTATTTAATATATCACCTAAAGATAGGTTCTTAAATTTTCTCTAGCTGCTGACCTCTATAGAGCCTACTCCGAGTCGAGTTATTTCGTATGCCGTACTCGTCGATATCCATCCTTCTAAATCTCTAGGCGTCTCCGAGTCTACCTCCACTAGCTGTACGCCGCGCTATCGACCTTAGGGTTAGGGTTAGGGTTAGGGTTAGGGTTAGGGTTAGGGTTAGGGTTAGGGT